AGGCTCTATCAAGACAAAGCTGTGTCCATCACAACAGCATGGCTTCGCAGAAGAAGAGTCCAGGTGCTAAACTAGCCTGCCTGCAGTCCAGACCTTTCACCAATAGAAAACATTTAACGCATCATGAAACAAAAAGTCTGGCAAAAGACCCAGAACTGTTGAGCAGTTAGAATCCTACATCAGACAAGAATGGGACAACATTCCTCTCCCAAAAATCCAGCAATTGGTCTCCTCAGTTCCCAGACATTTATAGACTGCTGTCAAAAGAAGAGGAGATGCTACACAACGATATAAACGACTCTGTCCCAACTTTTTTGAGATGTGTTGCTGCCATCAAGTTCTAAATGAGTTGATGTTTTTCATGAAATGGTAAAATGTCTCACTTTCAACATCTGATGTGTTCTATGCTGTATTGTGAATAAAATATGGGTCTATGAGATTTGCAAATGATTGATATTATTTACATTATATTGACATTTTACACAGCTTCCCAACTTTTTTGGAATTGGGGTTGTAAAAATCACAATATAATGAGTGTCAGAGAATCTTCTCAAAGCATCAACTGTTGATCCATATGAAATGAAATTGATAATAAATGCACATTTAATATGTTTACTTCAGGTTTGTTAACCGCACTGCTGTGAATATTTAAACAGCTTCTCATGTACATCCACCTCCAACCCTTCTCATCCCTCATTTCAGAGAAATACACCTCTCTCTATTGCCCTCTGTCTATAAGTACAGAAAGGGATTTGATGAAAAATGTGCGTAATAAATCAATGATGAGAACAAATTCAGCTCTGGCTTTAAGTGCATCAGTGAGCAGACACTCCTACTCCTTAAATAAAACTTTAGCACATCTCTGTAACTGAAATATGTTCTTTTTTATATTCATCTGAGTGTTCAGGAACTGTTAAACCATCATTTGTGATTTCCTGTTTCACTGGGGTATAAATATGAGGTGACAAGGAGGCCAAATTTCTTTCATTCATTAGCACAGGGAAGATTATAGCACACACAAATGAAATGAGATTAAATGTGTTGACGTGTATAAATTTGATAATGAAGATGAAAAATAACTACCCCTCTGAAAGTTCTCACATTCACCATTAGCTCAGTTGGGAACAACCAGAGCTGTAGTGAACCTGCCTAGAAGAGGATTCAAATGTGTTTTGCCTCAAAGCATAGTTTAGGGTTTATTGTTAGAGAGTCTCTAAAACTACAGTTAACTACTACCTCAAAGCATAAAACTATATAGAAGGCAGAATCAATGCAACAAACAGTGCACGTTTTTTTGAGTTGAATAAAACTAGTTTAATTGCTTATTACTATATGAAGTCTTTTTTTGTCCGGTTGATCTGATGAGCTATTTTTTATGGTGTATGAAGTAATATGAGCATTAGGTGAGTAACCTGATCCCAGAATACAGATACAAATTTACATAAACCATCTTTAACCAATGTACTTGGGTCAATATTATTATATTGCAGTGATGCATATTTGCATGAGGGAAAGATGAGGCCATCTGATCTCCCCCTGGTGTTCATAGACAATGATAGTGAAATGTTTTTCACTCCCAATGTTTCTCATCTAAAGCAGTGGACTTAAAACATAAGGAATATAGGTACTTAAAATACATAATATCTAATACATCAAACAGGAAACCATTAGTATTAGATGCTATTATATAGAGTCTTATATAAAGAGTATATAAAAAGTGAATGACACAAACTGTGCAGTGAAAGAGCTAACAGACTCACATGTCACAGTGAGCAGCAGCAGTGAAGATGTGAAGAACATGGTTCTGCTGTTTTTCACTCAGACCTGCAGGTTCTTCTCCAAACTCACTGATTCAGCTTCATATGTAGAGAAGAGACTTGATATGAAATTTGCATGACAAGTCAATGATGTGAATAAATTCAACATTAGACAGTCGGCGCCCCCTACTGGAATATAAATGAAACTCTAGAACTGACTCATGTTTATTATTCATAACACATTACTCATATTTCTGCACAAACACGCATAGAAAAGTAAATACATATTATTTGTTAAAATAAGAAAATACACAGTATTTACACAACTTAAAAAATAGTATTAATTCTTGCTGGTGCTGAAATTAACAATGAACATTTAATAAACCATTGGAGGTCTGGTTGTTTTAGTATTTGGTTCAATTCATTTCTCTGTATTTGTTTCTGTGTTCACTGTAATACAATTTTTTTTTAAATAATGGACTTAATTAACTTACATAATGAGTGATTTAGAAAAGTCAGAGAGCACACGTCATTTATTTAACTTCCATTCAAAATACATATTAAGTATATTATAATCATTTCATCAAAAAGGAAAAAAAAAAATGGTTGGCTGTGCCATTTTTTTTTTCCTTCAACTGTGAATAGATTTATGTATCATCATTCTGTACATGATAAATTCAAGCACAGATATGATTTATAGTAAAAGGACATTAAAGAGTGTATTTTCACTCCTTGTCCCCAAATTCATATAGAGGTAATCATTAATATATGAACTTTATTTTGATGTTGGCCATTGATCCTATCAGTCAGGCCCTAACTTTCATGAAATTGTAAACTATATTGTGTAAATCTTCAGTGCTTTTAATTGTTTAATCTTATTCAATATCATTTTATTAATTATTATTTTATGTTAGCAGTACTTTGTATTTTACATGCAAAAATATAATTAAAAATGACACAAGCTATGAAACTCATTCACACAGAAGTACTTGACTATCAGCTCTGGGTTTTTGTAAGCCGTGTTCATTAGTTAGTGTCACTGTGAGTCTCTTGCACAGTAATACACAGCTGTGTCTTCAGTCTGCAGATTCTGTCCTTGTAATGTTATTGTTTTGGTTCCAGTGTCTCTGGAGATGCTGAACTTGTTTTTCAGTTTATCACTGTAAGCTGTGCTCCCACCACTATAGAGATATCCAATCCATTCCAGAGCTTTTCCTGCAGGCTGTCGGATCCAGCCTGTACCATAGCTTGTAACTGAATATGACACCTTGCAGTTGATGGTCAGACTCTGGCCTGGACGGACCACCATGGAACCAGGCTGAGTCAGTTCCTCACAGTGAACACCTGTAGATCAACAATACAAAATTATTAGATGTATCATCTTAGATAAACATAAAATTGTGCTCTGACTGAGTGAAATGTGTTGTTTACTGAGTAACTCACAGGATGCAGCTGCCAGCAGGAGCAGTAGAGATGTAGAGAACATGGTGTGTGTTGAAGTTGGACCTGTGGGATCTTCTCTGTTCTCCACAGCTTAATAGAGAGTGTCTTCTAAATACAGAGAGATGTAGGGAGGGAGCTTGTATTTGCTTATCTGATGACCCATGAAGGCTAAACCTATTTAACACATCGAGTAGAGGGCAGTGAATTAATACAGTACATGTTCGGAATCACTTCTCTACTTGATTCAGCTAAATAAAAGCAGCAACATTTTCATTTAGAATGAAAAGCACAATGTACATATTTTTTAACACAATGTCAGAGAAATTGTCTCAAAGCATCTTAAAAATGTTGGAGCATATATGAAATGGAATGGATAATGAAGCATTTTTCTATATTTATTCCAGATCTGTAAACCACACTGCACTGAATATTTTACCAGCTTCAACCTCCAACCCTTCTCATTCTTCATCCCAGTGAACTGTACCTCTCTCACTGTTGTCATCTTTAAGTATTGAAGGGATTTGATGAAAAATATGTGTATTAAGTCAATGATGATAACAAATTCAGCACAAACTGCCTCAGTGATTAAATCCACCCTACTGGAATATTAATAAAAATTTAGCACATGCCTGTAACAGACACATGTTATTTTTATATTTCTTTTATATTTCATTTTTTATATATTTCATATATATGAGTGTTCAGGAGGTGTTAAACCATTGTCATTGATTTCATGTTTTACTGGGGTATAAATATGAGGCCAAACACAACACAAAGGCCAAATTTAGTTAAATGTGTCTTAAACATCTAAAATTATAAAAACATAATGCGAATAAAAATAACTACACCTGTGAAAATTCCCACATCTATCATTAGTGCAGTTTAGAACAACCAGAGCTGTAGTGAACCTGCCTAGCAGAAGATGCAAGTGTATTTTGCCCTCATGCACAGTTTGGTGTTCATAGTTATAGAGTCTCTAAATCTGCATTTAAACAATCTCTCTATGCCAAAATATCTACATAGAATGTGTGACAGAAGAAAACATTGTTTCGCCCAAGCTAAAATTGAAATACCTGGAGTTTATTAGATGCTGCTGATACTTTGACTGGAACAAAGCTCAGTTTGACTATCGTCAGATGAGACAACAACAGAGCTTTCTGACAACAGATTTTCCATTTCTATTTTACAGTAGAAAGAAGAAATAAACTGTTAGAAATGATTATATTTTACAAAGTATAAACATCTTTAAAGACCTCTTAAGAAGCCGATTTGTAGTTTGAGAGTTTGTATTGGTATTGTGGTTTTACACAAAGTAACTAATAATTTTAAATGAATGTTATGGTGACACTTTATTTTAAGTGGTTATTTTTAGATGAAATAAACACTTAACAGGCTCTTAATAACATCAGCGACATATCAATGATGCAGCAGTGGTGAATACTTTCAGAAGATTATGAAGAGACTTTAAATTATCTGTGCAAATAACATTTGTTTCTGATTCTCTGAATTCAGTTGTTTTTCACTTTATTTGGAGTTTCTGAATTCGTATGTTTAACCTGAGAGGAACTGAACATGTGACAGGTTTAATACAGGCCATCAACATCCTCAACAAGCTGTTACAGACACACTGACACCACTCTGTACCTGGAGCTTCACTGGATTAGGATTTTGTTATGGTTAAGATTAGGATTAGTGCCGGGCCGATAGTTAGGATTAGTTTTAGGTTTGCTCTTAAGGTTAGGGTTAGGATTAGGTTTTGGGTTGTTCCAGAGTTCACCCTCCCTCTGTTTATCCTGTGCTCTAGTTTTTGTACAGCTGTCTGTATGAGTTCCACCACAGTGAGTCTCTGGCACAGTAATACACTGCAGTGTCTTCAGGCTTCAGTTGACTCATGTGCAGGTAGAGATTAGAGCTGTCCTTGGATGCTGTGAATCTGCCCTGAACTGACTGAGCTGAGCTTTTGTGACTCTCAGAATGATAAGCAATAATCCATTCCAGTCCTTTCCCAGGAGCCTGTCGGACCCACTGCATCCAATAGTCACCAAGAGTAAATCCGCTGCAGGCACAGGTCAGTTTCTGGGATCCACCTGGAGTCACTGTTACTGACCTCTCAGACTGTGTGAGAACAATCTGAGAGTGGACACCTAAACAGAGACACAAAGACACAGCAGGTTAAATGTGGTTGGTCAGTTTACTGCATTAATCTGGTTCCTCATTGAGAGAGATAACAGACTCACATCCTGCAATCAGCAGCAGCAGTAAAGACGTGAGGAACATGGTGTTTGTGGAGCTGGAGCTGATCAGAGACACCAGAAACCTGGAGATCCTCTACAAACTGTCCTTCATTCACTCTACATATAGAGGAGTTTGATGAAGAGTTTGCATAACAGCTCAGTGATGTGAGACTCTGCTGCTCTGGCTTTAGGAGAACAACAGTTAGGTTTGTTTTTTGGATGAATGTCACCCCCTACTGGAATATAAATAAAACATGAGGTAATTAATTTCACAGCATCACTTAAATTGATGTTTAGTCTATTTGTTGAAGATGACCTGAACATCACAGTCAGTCAGAGTCAATAGATTCAAATCTTACAGCAATATAATCTCAATCTGTAAAAACCTGAAAGTAAGTCTGACTTTTGTAGTGTTGTTTATGTACTAATACTTCTAAACACTATTTGTATTTTTACACAATGCAAGTTTTAAAATATCATATATTTTTAGCAACATATGAACATATATATTATAGACAGTATTATAGACTCATAGCTCCAATAATCTTTACTCCACAGATGTCCAGTCCATGTTTTTAACTACAGTTCTGTCTTATTTCCATTTGATTTTCCTTTCTTTTTGCTCTCCTCAGAAACCTTCTCTTTATTTAATGCTTGTGTGAATGTTGGTGTCTCTTTGAAGGGGAACATAATGTCACTGAGGTCTTTGGGAGCAGCTTTTGTTGTTTTTCTTGGTCTTTGGGAGCAGCTGGAACTGGTTGGTTTTAAGATTGGAGTGATGGAAGAGTGAAAGTGGCTGTAGGTGGACAAAAGTAAAGAGTGGACAAATTAAATACTGAAATACTGTAATTTTCTTTTATTTTTTTTTATTTATTATTTATTTATTTATTTATTTATTTATGCCATAATGCCGTTTTATTTACTATACCGATAATAACTTTTTGATAATTTAAAAAAATACATTTCTCTATTTTGCTGTCATTTGTTTTTGCCATAACTAAAATTTAAATGAAAAAAAAAATCAAACAAATGAATTCATGTTATTAAAATCAATAAATTTATAAAGGCTTCAATTTCAGTGTTGAAATATAATGGGCATCTTTTATTATTATCATTATTATTTATTAATGCTTTATTAGTCCCACAATGGGGACATTCTCAGTGCTACAGCAGGAAAGGGACAGCAAGGCTCTCAAGAAAAGAAAAGGAAAGAAAAGAAAAGAAAAAAAAAGAAAAGAAAAGAAAAGAAAAAGAAGTCACAAGAAGAGGATTAACAAGCAAGTAATTAACCTTGTTAATTCCTAAACAAGGTGTAAACAGTTTATTACTTTATAGACAATATATATAAAACTAAAAGTAAAAAATCAGATAAAAAATATAAAATATATCCTTCACAAAAATTAACAACATAAAGGATTATAAATAAATAAAAGCTAAAATATTTACACTGTAAGGATATTTGACCCAACTTTCACAGAGGATTGCACATGAGGTACTGACTGATTTTGCCCTGATGGTCAGGCAAAAAACCCCTTTTAAAGATTTTATTTTTTCTGCACTAAAACAAAATTGTCTGCTGTTCCTGTTTGTTTCCTCTGACTGTGTATAAATTAATGTATCATCATTCTGTACATGATAAACTGAAGTACAGATATAATTTAGTTTTACAGTAAACAAACTTTCTTAAATGGGGCAGTTTCCCCCATTTTCCACCAACTTTGGGTAAAACAATCTTTTTTTTATCATTTTTTTTTTTTTTTGTTTTAATATTGAGTAGATACAAAGTTGTCCTTAAATTTATGAAGTTATAACAAAGGTAAAGTCTAAAAGTATTTATTTATTTATTTATTTATTTATTTATTTATTCATTCATTCATTTATTTATATATTTATTTATTTATTTAGCATCACTTTTTTAAGTTGTTAAGTTTTTAAACACAAGCTATTTAAAGTCTCCTACATATACAAACAAGTATTAGGCTAAGAACAGTCTGACTGTTGAGTGGTGGTTTGGGGTTTTTGTAAGCCGTGTTCATTAGTTAGTGTCACTGTGTGTATTTTGCACAGTAATACACAGCTGTGTCTTCAGTCTGCAGATTCTGTCCTTGTAATGTTATTGTGTTGGTTCCAGTGTCTCTGGAGATGCTGAACTTGTTTTTCAGTTTATCACTGTAAGCTGTGCTCCCACTATAACTGATATATCCAATCCACTCCAGAGCTTTTCCTGCAGACTGGCGGATCCAAGCTGTATTATCGCTTGTAACTGAATATGAAACCTTGCAGTTGATGGTCAGACTCTGGCCTGGACGGACCACCATGGAACCAGGCTGAGTCAGTTCATAACAGTGAACACCTGTAGATCAAAAATACAAACTTATTAGATGTATTATCTTTAATAACAGTAACATAAAATAAATTGTGCTCTGACTGAGTGAAATGTGTTGTTTACTGAGTAACTCACAGGATGCAGCTGCCAGCAGGAGCAGTAGAGATGTAGAGAACATGGTTGGTGTTGAAGTTGGACCTGTGGGATCTTCTCTGTTCTCCACAGCTTAATAGAGAGTGTCTTCTAAATACAGAGAGATGTAGGGAGGGAGCTTGTATTTGCTTATCTGATGACCCATGAAGGCCAAACCTATTTAACACATCGAGTAGAGGGCAGTGAATTAATACAGTGCACGTGAAAAAGAATCACTCAAAAACAACCAAAACTGTATTAAAATGTACTTGTATTAAAATGCTTTTACAGGTTTAGTATTTCTTTAAATTATTTTTATAAGTTAATATAAGTAAAAGAATGCAGGACTGAGCCTAAACGCCTAAACTCTTTTAGTTTACTAATTCACTTCTGGGGTATGAAGTAATATAATCGTTGGTCTGGCAATGTATTGATTTTTGTGTGGAGCCTAGAATAAAGATATAGATTTACTTAAGTAATCTTTGGTCAATAGATTTAGTTCAGGAATGTTAACATCAATCAGCATATTTTGCATAAATTAAATATGGGCCCAGTTATTACCCCCTTGTGTTTACATTAAATGCTTAAAGAAGTTCTAATCATTATCAATATAATTCAGTCAGTTTTTTCTCAATTGTAAAATTTCACATTATAACTAAAAGATAAGATTTATTAAGAATTATTAAATAATTAAATAAATCTAATCTGTATTTTGAAGGAGTGAAAAATTCAAACATGGGTCCACATATGAACTTTTAGAGGCATTTGTTTCATAAGCTGATGAAACAGTGAGTGTCTTCAAACAAGACTTGTATTTAAATGCAAAGAGGAAAGATCAAGAATACAAAGTGATTATATTTCAAAATATTACAGTTTGAAGTTGAGCTTAAACTTAATAAAATTCTCACTTAGTAAAATGTGTTCTTATGTGTTTTTATTTAACATCAAAAATCACAATATATGTATTTTTACACAGTGTCAGAGAAATGGTCTCAAAACATTGTAAAAATGTTGGAACATATGTGAAATGGAATGGATGATGAAGCATTTTCTGAATGGATAATGAAGCATATATTTATTTCAGATCTGTAAACCACACTGCACTGAATATTTTCTGCACTGAATAATTCATCTTTCTACAGGTATTGAAGGGATTTGATGAAAAACATGTGTATTAAGTCAGTGATGAGAACAGATTGATAAATGAAACAAATGAAATGACATAAATGTGTTTTGACCATCTTAAATTATAAAAACATAATGAGAATAAAAATAACTACACCTGTGAAAATTCCCACATCTATTATTAGAGCAGTTTAGAACAACCAGAGTTGTAGTGAACCTGCCTAGAAGAGGATGCAAGTGTATTTTGCCCTCATGCACAGTTTAGAGTTTCTAGTTATAGATTTTCTAAATCTACAATTAAACACCACCTCAATGCCAAACAACTATATGGAAGGTGTGACAGAAGAAATGTTATTTTGTCTAAGCTAAAATTTAAATACCTGGAGTTTATTAGAAGCTGCTGATACTTTGACTGGAACAAAGTTCAGTTTGACTGTCGTCAGCTGAGTCAACAACAGAGCTTTCTGACAACAAACATTTTCCATTTCTATTTTATCGTAGAATGAAGATATACAAAGTAACTAATAATTTTAAATAATTGTTATGGTGACACTTTATTTTAAGTGGTCATTTTTACATGAAATAAACACTTAACAGACTTTTAATAACATCAGCAACATATCAGTGACTTTTAATAATCTGTGCAAATAACATTCGTTCACTTTATTTGTTTTCCACTTTATGTGGAGGTTCTGAGTCATCTGCAGATGTTTAACCTGAGAAGCACTGAATATGTAACAGGTTCAATACAGACCATCAACATCCTCAACAAGCTGTTACAGACACACTGACACCATCCTGTACCTGGAGCTTCACTGGATTAGGGTTTTGTTAGGGTTAAGATTAGGATTAGGGCCAGGCCGATAGTTAGGATTATCTTTAGGGTTGATCTTAAGGTTAGGATTAGGTTTTGAGTTGAGGTTACGGTTAGGATTAGGATTGGGGCCAGGGTTAGGATTAGGGTTTGGGTTGAGGTTAAGGTTAGGACTAGGTATTCTGGTCATATTTGGACACTGTAGGACAAACATATGTACAAAACAGTTGTTCTTTTTGGACAAAACTGTTGTGTTTTCTGTAATCCTTTTTTAGGATTTTGAAAAATTAAGAAAGTTTTGAAAGTGTTTTAATGAGTTTGGAAATGTTTCCAGCTTATATAACAAAACAGTTTATAAGTAGTGTAGTGTGATAATAATTTATCAATAAATAAATTATTAGTGATTTATTTATAACAAAGAATAAAATGACCATGCAAAGTGTTAATGTTTCAAATGTGTTTTTTAATTTAATTTACATCGAAAACATCAGGGACTTTACACAGTACTGTGCAAAAGCACTTTAAAAGTTTTATTTACAAAGCTTTTTATATGTACAGCGAGCATTCATTTGCTCATAAAACTAAAAGTAGAATGAATAAATGACTTTATTAAGCTGTTACAGAGTTCACCTCCCTCTGTTTATCCTGTGCTCTAGTTTGTGTACAGCTGTCTGTATGAGTTCCACCACAGTGAGTCCAGAGCACAGTAATACACTGCA